AAGCTGGGGACGGGGGGGGGGCGCTTAGTGTGTGGCGCAAACCCTGCTGTTTAATAGGTGGTGCAAACTATGTTTAAGGTCAGAAAAAATGGAAGTGGTTAATTTGGCCACCAGTGCGTTGTAAGAACGCAGCCAGAATGGGCGACGTTAAACGTGGAACATTTTAAACATCTGTATTGCGGGTGCGGGGGGGGGCAGGATGGAGAGGGACCCTGCCGCTGACATCTCTGTTGGTAATAAATCGATGCAGCTTCTACAGTACGGAAGCAGAGGGCAGAAGGACTTCTGAGAACTAACTTCCTCAATATTTTTCGTAATAGTTGCTGAGACACTGTAATAGGGGGTGGGTGTCCTCAGTCACTTTGGGTCTCCATCCAAAAGCACGTTGGCTCATCTGGCCCTTGCATTGCCCCATTTGTGCACGTGGTAGAGAACTACACAACCGGATCTCTTGTACAAGATTGCACACTCCCAATTCTCCTTGGAGGGAGCACCCACCTCTATCCCTTCAAAATTCTTCATCTTCTAGAGCACTCTTTGGATGGGCCACCCAAACCCATGCGGTTTGCTGATTGTAATATTGCAGACATGCTTGTGAGAATGTTCACATTGCCTGGGGTGAAGCTGCAGCCGGCATTTTGTAGGGAAGGCTTGGGGAAAAGATGAGAGAAATTGCATGCAGACATCTGAGCTTCAGAGGATATCTCCCCCCCCCCCCTGTGCTTGCTCTTGGCAAGCGTAGGAACGATTAGATGGGTGGACTGGGCCTGAAACAGGCAGCTAGAAGGCCTTTGGCTAGCCTGTTCAGTGGTGCTTTGGCAGGGCTCTTGTAACTATAGAAGGGCAAGTATGCAAAATATCATCTTAGTCTGTGCGACCTTTGTGTGGACCACAGAGCACAGCGCGCTCATCAGTTCTGCAGGCCCCACAGGAATCCTCAGCATTTGGGCCTGTCTTTGCCTGATAGATGGACAGGCAACACAAGCTGGGCTGCAGCTATTTTTAGCTTCCATGTGCCAGTGCCCTGCTAGCCGTTACACTTATTCATGGCAGAGCGGAACGAGAGCCTCATTCTAAAAGTTAACAGGGCCCACATCAATCAGATGCAAGCATGTGGTGGGGGGAAATGTTTATTGCAAATTTAAAAATGAAGTGATGCAAGAAAAGAAGGCCAAAAACAGGAAAAGGGCAATAAATGCTGATAAATAACTGTTCAGTAAAGATAGTAATCACCCGCGATTTGATTGCTTGTATTCTTGCCGTGGCCAATCTTGTAATTTGGCCAGCTTGGTGAAAGGGAAAAAGGGTGGGCTCTAATTAAACAATGGTCAACAATCTCTCCTTGGTATTTCGGCTATTGTGAAGCCTTAACTTCACAATAGGCTCTCGTTTGCCAGCTGGCTTGGAGTACAGTTTGGCATCTGGCAGCCTGGAAGGGTGTGGAACTCTAGCAGCCCTTTGCGAGGGCTGGTGGCATTTGCAAGACTATTTTTGCAGCTTTCCTCCTGTGCGTTTTGTCTAGTGTTCATCTTACAGTTTCAGTCAGATCTGGAAAGTAGCTGTGAAGTTGCTATTGCCTGCTCACTAACGTACCGTCAAGAAGCATTTCACCTGGAAACAATTCCCAAGCACTTTCATTCAAGCTTATAATTCAAGTTTTTATTATTATTTACGCTCGCACTTACAGTGCATTCTACAGATAGAAAGGGCAAAAGGTGCTGACAGTGGGGTAGGGAATCTTGGTAAGGATTTTGCTGATAGACAGGGAGCTCTCATGGATACCAGTTGCCACTGAGCACAAAAATCAAATTTGTATTGAAGAGTTACATTTCAGGAGAAAAAGTACTGTTTGGGTGGGATTAAATCATCAGTAAGCACATTTTCCTTGCTTTAAAGATTTGTTGTGTGGTACACAAATTATAACACATACAAGGAACTTATTGCTGAGTCCTTCATGGCTAACATAATATCCTTTCTCTTTAGAACCATTTCAGAAAACCGATGAATGTGTCCTTTCGGAAACAGAGCCAGCGGATGTATCCAGCCCACAGAAGCCAATAGAGAACCAATTAACACCCCCAGGAGAACGCCAGACCCCTGACATTTTCACAGAGCCTCCTGAAATAGAACCAGTGGTCAAAGAGCCTGTAATCCCATTAATGAACTATTCAGGATATCTAAGGAGCGAAGCATCTGGTCACCCTAACACAGCCTCTGAACCACCTCAAAGCCATGAAATTGAAGTGGACGATGGGAGGACTTCACCCGAAGCAGACAACTTTGGTGATAAGCCTGAGGAGAAACTCAAGGAAGACCTGTGTCCAGACACTCTGGATCACGAGGATCCTGAGACCACCTGGAAAACTAGTGCAGACGACATTGGCAACAAGGACTTGGAGCAAGCAAAGAGAATTGCAGCAGTGCCTCCCATGCCTCAGACTGTCCACGTGGTCTTTCGTGTCCACTACATCACTCATTCAGAAGCCCAGCTGATTGCAATCACAGGTGACCATGAGTGTCTAGGCCAGTGGCGCCATTATGTACCCCTCAGGTATGACAAAGATGGCTTCTGGTCAGACTCTGTGGTCCTACCGTTTGATACCAGAGTTGAGTGGAAGTTTGTATTAGTGGAGAACGGCAAGGTCGTGCGATGGGAAGAGTGCACCAACCGATTGCTAATAACGGAACATGAAGATCAGGTGGCTCATAAGTGGTGGGGGTATCATTGAACAGGGACTCCAGTTTTATTCCATTCATTCGTAGTTTATTTCTCTGTCTTTACCTAAGTGTCTTGGCGCACTTTTTTGCTGCGTGTTTTGCTAGAACTGCCTCATAGCCAGCCTATCTTCTGCTAGCCTAGGCTTTAAAAAAGGAACATGCTCTTCAAATAAAATCCGACCAAAATCTCCCTAATAGCAGGCAAGTTAGGCTCTCTAGTGGGCAGTGTTTCAAAATAAAAAGTTTTCAATGCTCAGTTTGACATTGTATTGTGTGAAGAGACAAGTGTATGAATCATGAGTGCTGGACTTAGGAAAGGAGTAGTTCAACTACTCTGTAACTGTATTAAAATGTTCTTGGTTTATTATGACTGCATCAGAAAGCAATAAAGATGGACTTTTACAATGATGGCTGGTCTTTATATTTTGAGTTCTAAAAAAAGAGGTGTTCTTGATTTAGCTGCATTTAATCTGAAAACCCCTCCCTTTGTGCATTGCTGGACAGCACAAATATCTGCAACTCCCTTGATCTTGGAAAGCTGGTCATTACTGGTTCTGTCCTGTGCACAGCATAGTCTTAGGTGTGGTATTAACTCGTTAAAATAGAGCATGTATGAAAGAGGCAGCTTCCAGTCTCAGAACAGCACTATTACCCCTGCTGCCCCCAGGTTCAAACATGGAGCCTCCTCTATTCATGGCGGCTCTTTGTATGATTTAAATCCCAACACTGTTAGGGAACTAAATTCCAGAGGCACTTCCATGATTATCCAGTCTTCCAGGCTCACTTACCTACGTACAATAAGTTAGAACAGAAATGTGATTTGATGTTGAGTTTAAATGCTTAGTACTATTACCCCTTCATGTGAAGAATGTGCTTAAGACATAAGTTAACTACTACAGTTATATGCAAGTTCTTCACTGAAATTCACAAGAAGCTTAAATTATTGCCTTGCTCAGGAGAAAAAAACAACTTTCACTTGGTGTCTGCTATACATGCCGAAAAGTTGTGTTAGAGAAACTAGTGGCTTCTTTTCAGTCAAGGGTAGTTGTGGGGTAGTTAAGACATGATGGAGCTGTTGTATTCCCCTTCAAGAAGGGGGAAAAAAAACATTTTAAATTTGAAGCTTTTTGAATTAAAATTGCATGGTTCAAGCTCAAAACAGGTACTCTAGCCATACCAAGTGTTTTGAGTGCAAGATTGCCCTGCTTCAAGTTTGGAAACCTATAATAGACCAGAGCTGAACCATTGGAAATAAGGTTGGAACACTCTCTTGCAACTGAAATATTTGTTGCACACCCATTAAACAAAGTCTGAACAGCACTTGAATTATTAGGGGCTACAGGAATGTGTATGTACATTGAAAAATGGCTCTTTTAAAAGATGAGTATAGGCTATGTCATCTTTTCAACATTTATATAAATATGTCAGCTGATACTTGTTATTATTTTGAATAGTAAATCAAAATTTTGAACAGGCTTCTTTCCCGTAAATCTAGAGAGTTCAAAATCTCTGCTCTCTATCTTTAGCTGTAAGTTGAATAAGAATGCTAAAATCCACTTCCTACACTTGTTTCCAATATGAGAGAACAATACAGGCTAAGTTGGACTTGTTCAAGAGCAGATTACTTGTATGTTCTAAACAAGTCATTTTCACAGAATATTTTCTTGGAAAGCTGTTGTGAAGAGAGGAGGAAAGACAAAAATACAGATTTTAAAATTAAATCAACGCACTAATAATATCATTCATGATTAGGTTGCGGGTTCCTGGTTTTCTTACTGAAAAGGTTAGAATGACAATTAGGCTGAATAATAGATTTCAAACAAAGTAAAACTGGATGTATTTTTAAAATAAATATAAATACTAAGTTTACTAAAAATAATTTGGTTATCTGTACAAGTATGTTGGCTTACAGTTAAGAACTATGATGAATCAGTGTCCTCTCCCAGATGCACTGAATTGAAGGAGGCTTTTCTCCTTTGTAAGTAAAAAAGCTAAATGGATCCTGAATATATTGACTTGCACTTTGGAAGGAAACTAAGATGCTATTCATGTACTTAGTAGTTGCGTGATCTTCCTACTTGTAATTTGAATTGGCACAAATGGGAATGGTGTGAGCGATGCTGTTTTCTCCACCACCCCCATTGGCATCCAAACATGGATTGAAATTCTTTCCCTGAAACTATTTAAAAAAAAAAAAAGCAAACTCTAAACGAGCCCTTACTTAAAATTCCTGATTAGCCATTTTAAAGCAGTAGACCAAATCCAGTTTGGCACTTATTTGGCACTTTATAATTCCTGTCTTTCTGGCTGTGACTTAGCTTTTCTTAATCTTGTCTCTCTTCGTTGCCTCTCTGTACAGAAGCACGTTGCTTTTTTATGTCCAGTGATCATAGAGCCATAGAATGTGAGGTCACTTGTAACTGTTTTAATATATAAATATATCTTTATGACCTGAGGAGTTGAATCTTATTAGTCTCTTAAAATATAAAACTGTAGAAGGGGCAGAAATGAAAAAGAACTCTGTATGTCCTTTTTATATGTTTAGTTATTACTGAAATGACAGCCATTGGTCTGTGTTTTGTGAATGGATTTCAGGGCATGTTGGAGGATTGTCTGGGAGTATTAGCTGCATCATGTAGCTGATTCAGGTAGACCCGTCTGCCTTTTGTTAGAGTAACTCATGGCCTGGTTCCTAGGGAGTTCATTTTTGCATTGATGGGTTGGGAACTTACTCTCAATTCATGAAGCAGAATTTAGCAGGTACCAGCAGAACAGAAGCCCAACCCCTGTTTCAAAATGTTGCACACTCAAGCAACACAGCCCTTCCTTTATAGCCCACACAGCTCTTGGATGGTAGCTTTGTGATGGTCTGGCCATAGAGTGAAAGACAGACATGAGTTATAGAGACCCAAATTCTCTTACAGTTGTGAGGAGTCCCATAAGGCTTATCTAAAATATTGGAAAAAAAGAATCAAATTCTTTTCTTTGGGTGTTGACTGTAGTGCCTTTCTATTTCTGTGGAGTTAATCTCATACTCTTTTGTGGGCTGAGGATAAGGTGCATGGAATGCTTCTAGCTACGTGTAAAATTTATTTAGAATTGATCAGGGCAATGGGCATGTTTGTTGAGCTTGGGTGAATGGAGGAAGCTCTAAATTGTACCTATCGTGAGGAAGATTGTGTGTGTGTGCGTGTGCATGTCTAAACCAGTAAGGACATGTCTTTGAAGGGAAAACTTGTATGCACATATAGATATTTGATTTAAATAACTTCAGATCAGTTTCTCAGAACTGCAGTGCAATTCACAACGTAGTGTTGTGGGGTATATGAGCAGACCATGAAATGCACCATGAGACTCTGTGAAGCAGGGCTGATCAACCAGGGGGCAACCAATAGGGGTTCTTTTTGCTATTAATAAAGTGATTAATAGTGATAACCAAACGTTTTTTCTCAGCAGTTGTGTTCCCAGCAAAGTTTGTCTCAAAATTGCACAAGAGGAGTGCTTGAAAAGCATTAATACTTTTGTTAGCACACAATACATTTCCTGCTGCTGGATTCTTGTTCAACCAATGATTAATATAATGCAGAGAGCCAGAGGAGTCAACAGTGAGGTCAAGGATCTGCTCTGTAGTTTGAGCTGCCTGGCCACACAGTCATTCTTTAACTAGGAGGCTTGCCTTATAACAGGGAGGTAGCAGAATGACTGTCTGCTTTCTCTTTCAGCAAGATGATTTCTCTGTTTTAAAGCAAATGAGCCCTATTTTGGGGTGTGCACCAAGTTTTAGGATGTATCCTTTCTTTACATGGGATGATAAATATGGATAAAATAGAAATCTGCAAGACAGAATCTAGGTTTTATATGCTTTTCATTTGCCTTTTTCATTATGAAAATAACACTGCTCTTGCTGTTAAGCATCTGTCTGCAACATCTAAAGAATACTTAAATCTTTTACAGAGATTTAATAATCAGATCCATGCTGGGAGAGCCTCTCCAAGCTGGACGGCCTATTTTCTGTATGACTCATCGGAAATTTAAATAGCCCTGCTTATTTCAGTTTCTTGGCTGAAACTGTTATAGCTCAATAGACAAACGGAGGAACGGGATGTCTTCTGAAACTGCAGCCATTTAATCGGATCTTATTTTGAATCTGCATCCAACCATTTTATGGGAGAACTGGAGCAAAGTAGGCCAATTGCAACCTCTATGGGCCTGAGACTTTCAGTTTGGGCGGGCAGTTAAGGTTTGGGCATGCAATAGCTTGCTTTCAATCATTTACAATTTGAGAATGTTATCAACACTACTTTCATCTTACAAAGTGATTAACCAATGCTTAGGATAAGAATGTTCCAATATTCTAAAAGGGAATATGTACTGAACGTTTTAAGCACACATACAGCACAGCAGAGAGAGAGGACTGCAGGAGAGACATGCACATAATACACCAGGCATGCAAAATGTTTTTGGATTTATTTTTAAACTACTGAAGACATTTAACATGCCAAGGTTTCTGCACTGATGCTTGAATAAATGGCTTGACTTTCATTAGTCTGCTTTTGCATGACAAACCAATCATGTAAATGGGGAAAAAGTACTGGAGTGAAAACTTTCACTAGGTGACTGTAATTATTGCAAGGATACTAGGGTTAACTTTATTCTACTGACTTGGAACTGAATTAAACTTGAGGCTGTGGCCTCCTGCCATCTGAAAAGGGACAGTTTACCTTAGGTGAGGTTTATAAAGATGCTGAGAGAGCTAACTAAGAGTCCAAAGTCTGAATAAGTACTGAGCGTACCTACATGTACCAAGAAGGTCTTTGCATGGAGAAAAAAAACAGATGAAATGTAAACCTTGATGGGTGAAGCAAGGAAGAATCTTCCCAGAGGTAGGGAACCTGCAGCCTAGATGATGACAGACTCAGTCATTTCATCTGCTAATTCTCCATGCTGGCTGGGACTAATGCTTGAAGTCCAGCAGCATTTGGAGGGCCATAAGATCTTGCCCTCCCCTGAAATTCTATGCTATTCCTGCAATAGCACAGAATCAAGTTGGAACTACAGCCACTGGATCACCAGATCTGGCTCCTTTCTTGAAACAGGCAATCTTCAAGTTACTGCTCAGCATCTTAACAGCAAAGACGAACAGAACCAAGCCCCTGAATGTAAGAGCTGCATGAGTGATCATCTTCCCGCTGATCACTGCCAAAATAGCAGTAATGAGGACAGGCTTTATGTCACTTCAGTGGCTGGGTGATGCTCTGAAGAAGCTTTTGCTTAATATAAGTTACATATCTTTGGGCTTCCAAAGTTTCCCTATACAACTTTCCCTCCAAAGTTTGGAAGGAAGAGAAAATCCTTTCTGCATCAAGGGAATGCCTACAAAATTATCCCAAACAGACTCTGGGGCAGCTACTGGAAGCAGCTTCTAGGCAAAACGGGGGTTGGACCACCTGTTACTAAACTCCAACTTCCATCAGATCTAGCTGGTGTGACCAATAGTGAGTATGTTGGGAACTGCAGTCCAACAGCTATGAAAGGGACATATGTGGACCACCTCTGGTGGTCACCTATACAGGATCAATGGTATAGTCACATGGTCCTTTCTATGACAGTGGCTAAAGGAGCTGCTGTTGCTATGTTCAAAACTCAGTGACATACCAAGGGTGGGAGCAGTCATCTCCAGGTGTAGGCAATGGGGATGCCTTGACTGAGGAGGCTATCTGGGGGATAAGCTACGAAAGTTGGGTCACTGCTGTTGGGTCACTGTTGGATCAGTGTAGAGAGTGAGTCGCACAGCAGCAAAGAAAAGAACTGTGCCTAGCATTGTCCCATTAACACTATCATGGTTGTATCTGACTCCTCAAAGGCAATTTGCAGTGCTTTTTTGCCTTCCTGAATAACAACTCATGATATTGCAAAGCTACAGGGACAAAATGACCACCCACAGTATCCGTTCTTTACCATACATGGCATTCTGCTAAACTGGATCATTGCACCTGCTTGAACTTGGCCACTGATCAGTTCCTGTCTTCCAGAGTTGATACATCTGAGTCAAACTGCAAATTCCTAAAATAATGAAGTGCATGATAGCAAAGGATGAATTCTCTCAGGACCTGCATCTGTTTTTGTGGCATCAGGTTTGTGTCAGTGAGAAGCTAACAGTCTTTGCCTGCTTTTTCTAAACAAAAGGACAGATTACAAAACTACGTCAACTTTTATTATTAACAAGAACAGGAGGCATGCAACATTCCATTCAGCCAGGTTCTGAATGACGTATCTAGATACATCTTGAGTTATTAAAAACCATACCCATTTTCATTTGGAAAGCTTCTTCTCTTTTTCCTTTGCTTGCTCTATTTTCTTTTCCTGACATCTGATCATTGTTGACATTGCTGGAAGTAACATGAAGGAAAGGAATGGTTGTTAACACCACATAGGTATGGAAGCAAAATGTCATCCCCTTCATGTCATAGCTTCTGAAACATGGTTTTTGTGGTAATTTTCCCAAGCTTGCTTTTAGCTCAGATGTGTTTTCATTGTGCACAAGCCGCCATCTTCATTTTGTTGACAACACCCTGTGGACACCCCTGATCTTGTGTCTGTGCATTAGACCCAACCTCATCTAAGGATTACATGGGTGGTATGATTTATCCTCACATCATCACAGCTTTGTGGCCTTTCTTCCCTAAGCACAGAGTGGGGAAGACTAGTCAACTAGTTCTCTGGCTCCTTGAAGTTCAAGCTAGGCACAGCCTCCAAGGAAATTATAGCTCGAAACAGCCAGGTTAACATGGGAAGAAGAAAGGCATCCAGCAAGTGTTTGTTCTAAATGGTTTAATGTCCCCTCTGATCAGATGTGATGGCTTTAAAGATGGATCTTCCATTATTGCAAGCCCTTTGTTTTTGGGTGCAATTCAAGGTGCTGGTGTCCACCTTTAAAGTCCTACCTGGTTTAAATCCTGGCTATCTGCAAGACCACCTGCTCCAAATAGAATACAGCCACCCAAGGTGGGCCAGTGGAGAGTGCTTGCTGAGGGTTCCCCCCCTCATGTGGGGCAATAGGAAAAGACTTGGAGGTGAGCACTCTGCAGGACCTCCTCTCCTGTGGAACACCCTTCTACCAGATGGAAGAGCTACCTCCCTACTTTTAATATTCAGGAAGGTTTTAAAAGCATGGCTTTTTCAAGAAGCATTTGGGGACTCAAGCAAAAATGGGTGTACATGGCACCACACCTTTATGATGATAATATCAGAATTGTTGATTGGATTTTACCACCTGATACCTTGACAATGTTTTGATTACTGTGTTAGGTATCTGCATGTTGATGCTTAAAGTCAGATGACATAAGTGGCATAAAAAGATTTGTAATAAATAAATACATAAATATCTGAAGCTGACTTTTGTCAGCTACAGGCAGAAGCCCCAGTGGCCCCTCTAATCAGAAGACAGGAACAGCAATTTTAGGAGGTGAGATGAAGCTCTTTTGTATTGTAAAAGCACCATGTATATTGATGGTGCTGCATTAATAGATAATCTGCCAAAAAGGCACAGTTGGAGCCAGCCTTTCCTATGGCAGTTGTGTCTACTGAAATTTGCTGCAATGGGAATTCTTCAGAAAGTGGAGGATTTCAATTTATCTTGTCTCCCAAAGCCAACAAACTTGTTTTTTAAATTATCAGGGTGATTTTCTGCTTCAGACTCCTAAAATGACCTTTTAACATCATAAATGTGCAAGGACAAAGCAAAATTCCCCTACCTTGGTTTTTTGACTGCAGTGTTTCCACAAGGTTTTGCAGATTCTCCATCTTATTCTGTAATTTCCTGCATGCATTTCCAGTGGCTTCCCCCGTTTGAATCGCTATGGACAAAATAGTCAGTCACGTAAACCGTCAAAGGTATAAAAAGCACACTCACCCACAGGCAGAACTGCCAATGGTAAAGGCAAAGGCACTGGGTCAGCTCACAGTTCAGTTTATTATGAGCATCACATTAACACTGGTCAATGGTGGATGTGTTGATCTTCAACATTACATTAACATTTACAAAGTTCTAGCTATTTCGGAGCCAAACTGATGGGACTGACAAAGCTCCCCAGGTTTCTACCCAAAGAAATGTCAGTCAATGGATTCAGAATGTGCATTGCTCTTTCCATGAAAAGATGTGTAGGGTGGGGGAAATGTTCTACCAGCCCTTTGAAGATTGAGGCTGTTTCATTTATCTCCTAAGAAAGAAGGAAACTGCTTAAGGCAATGTAATGAAATCTAAGAAGTGATGTTTGGGGATGTCCATCTGCCCTTCTTTTTATGTAGAGTGGATCTATGTCAATGGACCAGCCGCAGCTCCCTTATCATCTGTACTTGGGCCCCAAGTCTGCACTGGTTGTTTCTGCTGAAGAATATCAATGTATGCAAAACAACTACAGTATGTTTACATGACGGTATACAAGCATTTGAATCCATGTGGAACACTGGGAGGCCACTAAGGATCAGATTTGCATGAAATAGGAGCCAACTGAAATTTTACTAATTCCTAGCCCCACCAGGGCTGAGTCCCTATCATTGAATGAGTAAACGAGGAACAACTTGCAAAATGCTTGCCTGGGCCAATGCATTCCGTAAGAGTGGCTATAGTCCTGTTTCTAAAATCTGCCTCTGTCATTAAAAAGAAAGGAGGTCTATTCTAACAAGATCAGGGATCTGTTTAATCGAAGATCAAAGATCTGAAGATTCAAAGATCCAACGAAGGGCTGCTGTGGGGCCTTATCAAGAGGCGGAATTACAAGAGGGAAATGAATGTAAAAAGCAGAGTTTAGACGTGAACTCACAGGATGGTTTCTCTTCCCTTTCAGCCTTCCTCCTCCTAATCCCTAATCTTTAGTAACGGAATAAAGATATCCGCTTATGTTTCAGGGATAATTGAGCCAAAATCCCTGAAATGTTTTGTTCGTGTAGGAAGAAAAAGGTGACCATGATTACCCATAAAGTCTACCGGTCACTGGAGAAGAGGGATGGATTTCAGAATGAGTTCACACTTTACAGTAAGACAGAATGTAGATTGCTTAGTTTGACTTATTGTGTTGTACCAACCCAGACTATATAATGTAAGGGGCTTTCTTTTCTCATTATTTCTGTGCACTGGGAAAGAAAACAAATGCCCATTTTTCAGTAATAAAGACTGATTCAGAAACAGCTTTACTGGTCAATGTCAGGTTCGGTCAGCACGAGGTTTCAGGGAAGCACGGGGCTGCAGGGAAGCTCGC